GTGGATCGTTTGACAAAGTATGTGCAGTTGTTATTTCTTCGGAAGAGTGTCACTGCTTTAAACTTGGCTGCAGTTTACTTAGAGAAGGTTTTTCCTGATTTTGGTTTGCCAAAGGACATCGTTAGCAATCGAGATTCAAAGTTCATTAGTGGATTTTGGAAAAGTTTTGCAAAGGTTATGCAAAGTTCTATATGGTATCCTCTCCGCTTGCGAAGCATTGCACAGCATGTTGCTGGAGCTGGGCCTCAACCCATTCATCGATAGCTAGCATTTACAAAGGCTTCATTGGATGTTGATACAGAGAATTAAGTTTAAAGACAATTGGCCCACTTTTATGATGGGCTTAATCTATGTTGACTGGATTGTTCTTTGCAAAGCATGTATGCAAGGCGATTTTACAAGGAAATTTATCAAATCTTCCGCAAAGTCAATGCCATAATCTGTCAAGAACCAAATCCTTGGAGAGCTTTAGGAATTAATATATGCATAATGAAGGATAGTTAAGTAATTTGATGATGAGAAGTTTGACATATGTTATCAAACACAAGTGCCATTTCCTACTCATCCATTCCCTTCGAAAACTTTCTTTCTATTCTGCAGGGTGGAGTTTTATATATAATGTTGTTGTATAGGGCAATATTGCTCCTTCAATGGCAACTAGCACTTGTTCAATGTTTCGTGACCAATCTATTCCCTTCTCTTCCAATATCTTGGAATATAAGTATATGAAATTTTTCAAAACTAACATATTGGAGTACAATCTTAATTATTCTTAAACTCTTAGGAATACTAGTCTCAACTAGAGATATACTTCAGTTCCCTTTAATCTTTCAGTCTAGCATCATTTCAAATCCAGGATTGGTATTCAGATTAGAATATTGCTAGCCTTTTGAGACAAGTATAATAGTTGTTTGAATCATTAGGATCATCTTTAGTGATTTTAATCTACATTGAGTTATAATTTAAATAGACAAATCAAATATTTATTTTAATAGCTTTTTTTCTGCAGGCTATTTGCAAAAGAACACCCACAAGGTGTATGACCTGTTTAGTATTTGCACACATATCAATTTTGTTATATTTATATTCTTTATTTTTCCATAATACTTATCTTTTATGGCTTCAGTTAAGTTATAGTCATTTACACCTTTGAGTATTTCTTCAATTTAGGCATTATATTTTTGGTTTGCTTAAGCAAACCAACATAGGATATACCTGGGTATTCTTGAATATTCTATAATTTAATTGTTGATATTTATTTAGAATAATTTTGTGTTGTGAGGGCCAAACACTTACAGTGTTTATAAATTAAAAACATTTTAATAATGGTTTCCTTGCCTTTATCATTTCCTAAGTGGCCATTAGTCCTTTATTAGCCTCTATTGTTCTCCAATGTTTAACATTATCTATCAAGTATGGTTTAACACATGGAACCTTCTCCAAACTCAATAATAACAACATTCAAAAGTAATCCTCTATATCATAAAACTAATCGTCCACCACCTTATAGTTATTCATGTTTGCAAATGTGATTTTGTGGTGAGGAAGCAAGAGCAACAAAAGGTTTTCCAGACAAGCTAACTTCTCAAGTTTAACCAGCTGCCACCTCCATGCAAAGGTACTTTCCACGAGCTCAAAGGGTAGAGGGCTAGCTCTTGATTTTTTTTGGTTGTTCTCTAGGCTCCAATCTGTTAGGAGTGATGCAAAGAGACTGTTATTGATCAGGCCAGGGATTTCCAACCCAAAGCTATGTTTCTCATACCTGAAAAGTGTATATACATATCCTCTTGTAGTTTCTCTTCTAAATAGAAGACAAGTGCATGAGGTTGTACATATCGAAGTACAAACCAAAGAAGCAGATCAATGGATCTCCCCGCGACGCATCAATTAGCAGTCGAACGAGGCGAGCAGCGCATACTTGATCCTCTTCCAGTCGATCCACTTTCCTGTAACCAATGGTGCTACCGTTGCTCACCAGGTACCAGCCCAGCTCGCTGTCCCATGCCTCGACGTGATATTCCATGACCCTTTGTCCCATGTTTACTGGCTCTCGGATCTCCAGTGCGTTGAACTTTGAGATCTTGCCAAGATCAAGCTCGATCCAGCCGGTCGACTCCCCTTGCATTGGAGCCCAGAAAGTTTCCATACACTCGTCAAGGATTTGCTGCGGCCCGAACGAAGAGCTGCGAATGCTGCTTGCTGTCACGGACAAGGGATTTGCTGCTAAGTTGACGCTGAAGATGGAATCTATGGCGGAGCTAAACCGCTCCAGCGTCTGGAAGTCGGATTCGCCGATCAGTCCCGACGAGTTTGGAGGGACGTTGAGCAGGAGCAAGCAGTTCCTGGCGGATGATTTGTAGAAAACGTCGAGCAGCTGCTTCAGGGATTTTGGAGCCTCGTTCCTGTGCCAAAACCAACCGGGCCTGATGGAGATATCGCACTCCGGAGGGAGCCAGTCGGTTCCAGCACTCTCTCCAGACATCAAGTACCTCTTGATCTTGCAAATTGGATCGACTCCTCCGGACGTGGCTTGGGCTCCTCCTGGCGATGATCCATGGCCTCCTCCTCCCGGAGAAGAACCGCGGCGTCCTCCTCCTAGAGTAGAACCATGGCCTCCTCCTCCCGGGGCACCCCCTCCTCGAGCCGCCTCAGAACCATGGCCTAATCCTCCCGGGGCCAGATTCAGAGATCCGCGGCCAACCCCGGCCAACCCCGGCCACCCCGCGCCCTCCTCCCACTCCGGCCACCTCTCCCTCCATGGGCACCTCTTCCTCCTCCTGTTGGTGAAGATAGAGCACGAGCAGGCCCAGATCCAGCCCCATTTCCCAGAGCTCTGTTTCCTCTTCCAACCCTAAAATCGGATTACCTGCTTCTTCCTCTCCTCATAAATCTCCGCGGCTGCTGCCATGTTTTAATTCTCGGGCCGTGCCGCGAGATCAGATCTTCTTCGCAGGCACGCCAAACCCTAATCTAAGAATCTTCTCGAATATTTCCGGAATAATTTTTAACAACTTCCCTTAAAATAAAATGACCCCAACACTTTAGATTTGGTCGGGGATTTTGAAAATTACTTAAGAATCCTCTAAATTCGCCTTTTTTTCGTGCGAATCCAAAATTTCCCATAAAAAATAAGGGTAAGTACATTAATTTAGCTTATTGTGCACGTAAATTTTGAACTTTAATTTTCGGGTAACTCTTGGTCCAGAGCTAAACTCTTATAAACATCTCTAAACATGCTCATTTAATTAACCACCAATGAACGGCAAAGATATCTTTACTAGCACTCCCTAATTTTCTTTCAAAAATAAAAAACTAAAAGCAAAGAAGATATTATCAAACACTATTTTTTCAATGTTTTTTTTTTTCTTATTTTCTACTATTAATTAACTTACAACTCAATCACACAATATTTGGAGCTGGAAGAATTGAATCCAACTTAATTTCAGCAAACTGATGAGGATGGACAATTTTTATTTTCATTTCTTTTGCAATTCTTAATTTATATTTCTTAATTTGTTTCTACTCTTCTTATACACACTTCTTCGGTGTATTTGGCCCATTATATTTAGCTGAAACACATGTACATGTACACTAGTACACTAGATACTAAGCCTTGTTGCTAATTCTCAACGATTTGTGCATCTGCTGGTTGATACACACACACACACACTGTGTAGGGCTGGCTCCATCCACAAGAGAGCCTTGAGGTTGGGCACCAGAGGCTGGAAGAAGTTGTCACAGGAGAGAGCAAGCAGGTCACCACTCATGACAAGCTCAAAAAATCTGGAAGGAAGACGTTGCCAAGGAACTGGTGAGTACGTCGCAAGAAACAAATGCTGTCGTCACCAGCTTCCACACGTCTTCAACGTGCTCTAGGAGCACAAACCCAAAGTTGGTCATGCCGCAAGCCGCCATCACCTTGCTCCCGGAACAGGAGGCGGTACTTGCTATCAGCAAAGAGTTTGGGTACCGGCAAGTCTTCATATTAAGGCTTATTATCTGAATCTGGGCACTCCGTTTTGGGGCACCTGTTGGCAGGTTTAGTCCGAACGGGTACCGAGATTCTGAAAATCACCGCTTTCTTGCAAAAGAACTTGCAAAACGTGAGCACTCCCTTCTTGGTGCTGCATGGGACGGACGACAAGGTTACCGATCCAGCGGGATCTCAGAGGTTGTACGAGCATGCTCGCTCCGAGCGCAAGACGCTCAAGCTGTACGAGGGGCTGTTACACGACTTGTTGTTTGAAGTCGAGACAGACAGGGACGTACTTCAAGTGACCAACTTCTTGCAGAGCAAACTGGGCGATGATGTCACGAACCAGAATGTCGAGCTTGGCCTTCTGCGCACCCTTTGGAGCCGGGCCATTCTCCGCAAGGCCGGGATCAAGCTTGTCCAAGCCATAGCCGAGAGCCCCATAAGCGAAAAACTCTGTCTCCAGGTACTCGAGATTCAAAGGGAATGCCAGTAACTTCTTGTCATCGGGCGTGACATCTCCTTTTGGAGCAAACGCAGCCGACGAGACCTCTCCACACACTTCCTCGTCGTGAGCATAGCTAACAAAGAATCCAGAAAAAAGGAGGATCAAAACCACAACACTGCTAGTTCCAAAGATCAAACCCATCGCACTTGCAAACTCTCTCTTTTTTTTATCTCTAGCTACGAAGCTCAGAGGAAGAAAAATGTGATACCTCGGGTTGGGTCAGCATAGGAGAGGAAGAAGTCTCTCGCATTTATATTTGAGACGTTTTTTTCACTGCATGCAAATGGTAGCTACAAGCGTCAGTTGCATTTCCCGATTCTGCTACCAAAAAGAAATTTAAATTTTAAAAGACAACGTGTCATCCTCCTTTTGCATAGTTTTAACTTTTAAATGTTAATTTTTTCTCCGTGAAGTTCAGGTTGACGGCGGTACTTTGACGAGGCATGCTCACTCAGCGGCCCATGTTTCTGCTTGACTCACGGAGGGTTTAAAACCAGGGATAACTGCAAGAAAGTGTTTTCAAAAGCAGTTGTCACAGGAACATCTGCCATCCTGGAACACATGAACCCGACTGGCATCTTTGCAGATGATTAGCCTTTTTTCCAGCTTAGAGATGAGAGCAGTGGCCGCATGGCAACCGTCACAAACTGGGAGATTTTTCACAATTCTGATGGTCTCCTTCTGGTGCGAGTTCACCAGAGCACACCCCAGCGCAAGCTTCTCACTGTGGCCGCACAGGTGATCCTCTTTCTCTTCCTCGGGTATGTCTTTTAGAACGTTGATCACATCGCTCGCGTACCCCTCCTCCTTCATTCTCAGCAACAATTGCTTGAGCTTGGCCGCAATCTCGTCGCTCTGTGAGTGACTCCTATCCCTGACAGAAAAAGAATGCACTTTTCCTGAGCTAACATCCGTCCACCAGCTTCTCCCGGGCTCCCTGAAGCTGCCTTCACCTCTCATTCTCTCCACAACAGCAGCCCTTTCACTGAGCATCCCCAGGTTTCCAAATATATTGGCCATCAATGCGTAGGGCGTGCCGCTCTTGGGATCCATCTCCACAAGACGCTCAAACGCGAGTTTGCCGATCGTATAATTCTTCCACTTCCGGCAGGCTCCTAGCAGGGACGTCCAAACCACTGCATCCGGTTCAAAAGGCATGGCTCTGAGAACTCTCACAGCTTCGTCGAGGAGGTTAGCTCGCCCGAGCATATCGATCAGGCACACATAATGCTCCAGACGTGGCTTGACTCCATACTGCTTGGGCATTTCATCCAGAAGCTGCCTTCCTTTCCCGACCAGACCACCATGGCTGCAAGCTTTCAACACCGAAACAAAACTCACATCGTTAGCTTTACAGCCCTCCTCCTGAGTCATGGAATAGAAACGCTCCAAGGCCTCGACCGATCGGCCCTGGAGAGTGTAAGCCTGTATGAGAGAGTTCCAGAGACCCGTGTCGTCCCGAGCTCGGCACTCGTCAAATGCTTCCTGAGCAGAATCAACATCGCCGCATTTGCCGTAGAAGGTCACCAGGCTGGAGCCCAGAACTGGATCGTTTTTCAGCAGCCCTTTATGCTTCGCCAGCTGGTGAATCTCCCTCCCGAGCTTGATCGCCATCACACTCCCGCAAGCAACAAGGACGCAGGTGTAGGTGCAGGCATCAGCTTGAATGGTGTTATCAGCTCTCAGGGCAGAGTAGTACTCCAGAGCAAGTTCAGCTCGCCCGTTCGTGTTGCAGCCCTGGATGATCGCAGTGTAGGACACAACACTCCGAGTTCCCATGGAGTTGAAAATCTTGCGAGCCTCCTCAAGCTCGCCACACTTGCAGTACATGTCTACCAGGCAATTCGCCACGAACAGATCTACCTGTTTCTTCTCCTTGCTCAGCATTGAATGGATCTCCATCCCGATGCGTAGAGCTCTCTCCCTCTTCTCGCTGGATTCGGTAGCAAGTCTGGAGCAGGCGCTGATCACCACGACATGAGTCCGATCGTCGGGTTGAATGGTGTTATCAGCTCTCAGGGCAGAGTAGTACTCCAGAGCAAGTTCAGCTTGCCCGTTCGTGTTGCAGCCCTGGATGATCGCCGTGTAGGACACAACACTCCGAGTTCCCATGGAGTGGAAAATCTTGCGAGCCTCCTCAAGCTCGCCACACTTGCAGTACATGTCTACCAGGCAAGTCGCCACGAACAGATCTACCTGTTTCTTCTCCTTGCTCAGCATTGAATGGATCTCCATCCCGATGCGTAGAGCTCTCTCCCTCTTCTCGCTGGATTCGGTAGCAAGTCTGGAGCAGGCGCTGATCACCACGACATGAGTCCGATCGTCGGGTTGAATGGTGTTATCAGCTCTCAGGGCAGAGTAGTACTCCAGAGCAAGTTCAGCTTGCCCGTTCGAGCCGCAGCCGTGGATGATCGCGTTGTAGGACACAAGACTCCGGGTTCCCATGGAGTGGAAAATCTTGCGAGCCTCCTCAAGCTCACAACACTTGCAGTACATGTCTACCAGGCAAGTCGCCACGAACAGATCTAGCTGTTTCTTCTCCTTGCTCAGCATTGAATGGATCTCCATCCCGATGCGTAGAGCTCTCTCCCTCTTCTCGCTGGATTCGGTAGCAAGTCTGGAGCAGGCGCTGATCACCGCGACATGTGCCCGATCGTTGGGTTGAATGGTGGTACAAGCTCTCAGGGCAGAGTAGTACTCCAGAGCAAGTTCAGCTCGCCCGTTCGTGTTGCAGCCCTGGATGATCGCGGTGTAGGACACAACACTCCGAGTTCCCATGGAGTGGAAAATCTTGCAAGCCTCCTCAAGCTCGCCACACTTGCAGTACATATCTACCAGGCAAGTCGCCATGTACAGACCTAGATGTTTCTTCTCCTTGCTCAGTACTGAATGAACTTCCATCCCGATGCGTAGAGCTCTCTCCCTCTTCTCGCTGGATTCGGTAGCAAGTCTGGAGCAGGCACTGATCACCGCGACATGAGTCCGATCGTTGGGTTGAATGGTGGTACAAGCTCTCAGGGCAGAGTAGTACTCCAGAGCAAGTTCAGCTCGCCCGTTCGTGTTGCAGCCCTGGATGATCGCCGTGTAGGACACAACACTCCGAGTTCCCATGGAGTGGAAAATCTTGCGAGCCTCCTCAAGCTCGCCACACTTGCAGTACATGTCTACCAGGCAATTCGCCACGAACAGACCTAGATGTTTCTTCTCCTTGCTCAGTACTGAATGGACTTCCATCCCGATGCGTAGAGCTCTCTCCCTCTTCTCGCTGGATTCGGTAGCAAGTGTGGAGCAGGCGCTGATCACCGCGACATGTGTCCAATCGTCAGGTTGAATGGTGTTATCAGCTCTCAGGGCAGAGTAGTACTCCAGAGCAAGTTCAGCTTGCCCGTTCGAGCCGCAGCCGTGGATGATCGCGTTGTAGGACACAACACTCCGAGTTCCCATGGAGTGGAAAATCTTGCGAGCCTCCTCAAGCTCGCCACACTTGCAGTACATGTCTACCAGGCAAGTCGCCACGAACAGATCTACCTGTTTCTTCTCCTTGCTCAGCATTGAATGGATCTCCATCCCGATGCGTAGAGCTCTCTCCCTCTTCTCGCTGGATTCGGTAGCAAGTCTGGAGCAGGCGCTGATCACCGCGACATGTGTCCAATCGTTGGGTTGAATGGTGGTACAAGCTCTCAGGGCAGAGTAGTACTCCAGAGCAAGTTCAGCTTGCCCGTTCGAGCCGCAGCCCTGGATGATCGTGTTGTAGGACACAAGACTCCGGGTTCCCATGGAGTCGAAAATCTTGCGAGCCTCCTCAAGCTCGCCACACTTGCAGTACATATCGATCAATCCCGTCAACAAGTAGATGTTGCTTTTGTGCTCATCACTCTTGAGCACAGCTTCATGGGCTTGTTTTCCCAAAGAAAGGGATCTGCTCTCAGCTGAGTCTCTCACGAGGTGTATCAGCCTCCCTAAACTCACCGGTTCATCACCAGCTACAGGTGGGGTATGTGGAGATTTGTAGCGGGCCGTGGTGGCCTTACCTACAGCTGGGTCAGCGAGCGACTCGACTTTTGCAGAGACCCAGGTTGGTGTTTTCCTGTTGGCGATCCACAGGCTCTCTCCGGTAGAAACATGTTTGAAATCCGGGTAGGACTCTGAGAAGAACTTGTTTTTCTTCTTGAACCTGTTGTCCCACCAGAAAGTGGGATCCCTGAAAAACGTTTTCCACTCCATGAGAAATGACACACACACCACACAAACCCTAGCGCCGCACACATACCCTAGAAATCCCGATTTGTTAGTACTTAACTGTAGCAGTAAAAAGCTCGTGTTTTCTGTTTTTTCTTTTTCTAATTCTTTTCCTTTTCAAACTTTACAATGTCACAGCTTATAGATGTTTATTGTTAAAAACAAATCGCTTTGATATATATAGAAAGTGAGCCAGCAGCAATCAATTGCTCAAGAGCTGAAGAATCAGTACATGCATAATTTTCAGACAATCTTCTAACTGGCTGAACATCAGGTTTTTATGATTATTATTATTATTACTTATTATTACTAACAACACGCACGAACTTCCTAGAAATCCCGATTTGTTATTCTCTGCATTCATTTTTTATATAATCTGTTGCTGCATGCACTTAACTGTAGGTAGTCTTCAGTTCTTCAATATAATCTGCTAACTAAAAGATATCGATACACTCAATATGCAAAAATAAACCACACTCTACACAAATTAAATAAAAAATGCTCTTCATGGGGCTACACGGCCAGAAGCCTCAGGGCACCAGTTTCATGCAGAACACTTTCGCAAATGACTCTCACCCGGGGCCTGTGCACAGGAGTCCTCGGGCGGTGGTAAAACCTCACAAGGCCTCACGTACTTATATTCACCCTGGGCTTCTGGCTGCTCCGCAACATACCTTACCACACCAAACTCTTTGCACATGAAGCCACGCACAGAGGAAAAAACCGCACAAGGCCTCACATGCTTACATTCAGTCCTTATGTGTTCTTGGCCTCGCTCAGTTCATCTCCTTTGTTGTCCACCTGCGCTTCTTTACTTCATGTTTTTGCTTGCATGCTTCGATTGACATCTTCAGATTTTCAAGCGAACGATTGTGGCATACCGTGGCTACGTTTTTCGGCAGAGCTTGGAGGTGCTGAAAGCGGCATTAAGTTCGTGGAAGATTGATCTTGATTTGGATTGTATGGATCTCTATAAATTTTGAAACTTGAGTTTATTTTTCTTCTTTTTCTTCTGTGGTTCCAAAATAACTGGTGTCAAACTTGCTTTTGCAGACTATCTCTAGTACTTCTGGATGCGATCAAGGCCTGCTGCTCATTGCTTCAAAGGAGGAGATGATAATTGATCCCCAAAGAGCGAGCTTGATGGTTTTGTTGCTTTCATCAAGTTATCATTCCGCTGCGATCTGAAACACCACATCGTCCACTGTACTTTCACAGGTTTCGAGACAGATACCCAGGAAAGGTGTATTCCATTGTTGTTCCTCAGGACCTGGACTTGTTTTGCCGCCTCAAGTGTGAGCTGATCAAGATGAGGGAGAAGCTTGCAATGGCGGAGGCTTGGGCTCGAGCAAGGTTGCAGATGCAGTATGAGGATGATTTCTTCTACAACTATGATGAGTGGGACAGCTTTGTGGATCTTTCCACATTGAGATCGTCAAGCGGAGGGTGTTGTAGCATAAGTTATCTCCTGGAGAAATGGTCCTGGCTCAAGGAGCAGTTTGCACGCATCCGCACGTCAAGATTGTTGGAGAGCTCAACTGGAAGATGGAAGGTGACTCATGGGGTTTCAAAACCTGCACTCGGCTTGGTAAGGTTTGGTGAGTTAAATAAGTATGATGAGTTTGAAGAGACAATCGCAAAAAAAAGAGGGGGGGGGGGACGTGAAGCGTGCTAGCTCTCCTGAATGGCTTCAAAGAGGTGAGGTGTCTTAAAGAGGAGATGATAGAGCTGAGCATGGAGCTGAACTTGGCTTGTGCTCCTTCTTGTAAGAGCTAACTAGCTAGCAAAAACAGAGGAGATGGTGAAGAGGATGCCTCTTGAACTCCAAGAGAGCAACAGACCTTTTTTCTTAAGGGGGGGAGAAGCTCAGAAGTAGGAGCAGTGGAGCAAGAGGTTAGGGCTGATGTCATCCCTGTGCGCCAAGACTGCTGGGGCTTGGTTAAAGTAGGCAACCGGGTGGAGGCAGGGGGTTGGGAGCAATCCGAGTCTTGAGGTATGACTTGTCTTTTCTACCTGGTGGAACTCCATCCGAGCATTCCTACTTCCCTCTTTTAAGCTGCGCAAGTTAGCTCGTCACATTTATACTCTGATTTCACAATAACTCGCATTTTCACTCTAATTAATTCTTTTTTTCCCTTCCTCTCCCCCTTCATATCCCTAAACCTCAGGATCATATGGAGCATATAAAAAATGTGATTAACACCTCTCACTCTTGATCTTGTGGGATTCATAATATGATAACACCTCACTCCTACTCTTGTGGGCTCCATAAATACAATCTTGTTGAGTTTATCTATATCTACCATAGAATATATGGTAGAATCCTTACATCAATCCGTTCACACACAATATCGAGCTAACTGCTTCACATGGATCTTCTCTTGACGTTGTGCATTGAGTGCCCCACATAGATTTGTGGACCAACTTGTTGGACGATGTGATAAGGACCTACGCAGCAAAAACCTTGGATCCGCAACACCCGATAACTCACCAACACTTGATCTCCAACGACATATGTAGAAACTTTAGAAACTCCAGCGGGTGCAAAGTCTGGGCAAAAGTAGAGTGGAATTCAGTTATTTGGAATGTGCCACACCCAGGAATTCAATCCAAAGCTCTTCTCTTCAGAGTGATTGTGTCAGGTTTATATCCACGAAACTGAAGATCTTGCCTAGACAGGGTGGTAACTAGAAACAAGGAATCGATTGGCACTGCTCCTCTCAACACAAAGAAGGTCCAGGATGGAATAGCAAAAGAGATGTTGAAGATATGGAAGTCACACTCCTACCCAGGTTAAGTCAGAAAGAACCAGACCATCTGACAGAGGCATTAGCTGATCGCTTGTTCTTCAACGTAGCGCATAAGAACAGTAATCAACAGTATATAGGTGACTGTTCAGCTCCAGGCTTGGGTAGAGGTCTTTGGGCTAGGTGGCATAGAAATGTGGGAGCTTCGATCAAAGACTTATTGGATCTACAAAGAGCTAGCAAGCCATCACTTGCAGCAAAGTTCTTGTTGGGATCTTGTTTTTCTTCCTCAGCAGTGGAAAAGGTATGATACAATGAAAAAGGTAAAGTCAGGTATTTGTTTAACGTCCGCTTGGAGCAAACCCTGCTCATCGGATGGCCTCATGACAACCCATTACAACCCAGGATGAAAACTCCACATCAAAGCTTAAGGCAGCATTGCTTGTGATCGCCTTCATCTTGCTTTACAAACTGAAGTTATTGAGGTTCGTGATTGGATAATGCTTGATGGTGCTGAGACTCAAATCATCTTTGTTATGGAAACAACCCCATCACCTCAAGGTATTGTTTTTTATCCCCATAACAGTGGTGCACTGTTTCCATGTATAGTTCCCAAGGAGGTCCCAGTTCCCAGGATGGCCTTCGGTAAAAGGATCAGGATGATACATCAGAGAGGGAAATACACTGAACTGGATCCTAAGGTTCAACTGGGAGAATGCTCTGCAATACACTAGTTTGGGGAGTACCTAAATCTGATCTTATATAGGATCCGGCTCAGTTATCCTGGGAAGGTAATGAGTTCAGTGTGTCTTTTTTTATGTACAGGTCTAAGCATGGCAGAGAGCTTTTGATGGATAAAATTGACACCAAGCTTATGTGGAAGTTGAAGAATCAGAAGTACATTGTGAACATGTGGAAGACACTGGTGGAAGCTAAGGTAAGCTGGCTTCTTGTGCAGGACAGCATCCCTGTTGGTGATTGGCTCACAGTTCACAAAACTCTGTGTATTCTATGCAATGAAAACCCCGTGGAGATGCTTGAACACCTCTTCACATGCAAATTTGCAGTTGGTATTTGGCTCTTTGATCAGAGACCTAGGTCCAGAATCAGCTGGTTCATCACGAAATACGGTGACATTTTTCCCTCTGCTCCAACTATGATGAACAGTAGCTGAGAGAGAAGCTAGCAAAGCATCCTGCTAACAAAAACACTAACTGTCTCACGTGACACAACACCTCCAGCCATCAACAGGGTCAGAAAAGAAAGAAAGGATAGGAGCAAACGATTACTTCTCCTCTTCCTCTGGAATGTCATCCAAGTCATACTCGAAATTAGGAAACAACATCATCCTCAGCTTCCCATGTAGCATCATATGGAGAATAACCATTCCACTGAACAAGTAACTCTCTCCAAGTCTTACGATGTGTGCGCACTAGCCGTTGTTATAACACACAAGTATGGCCAACCTTCAAACATCTATCTCTGGAATCTTGATTGCAGACTGGTCCAAGATATTACTAGAATGCAAACATGCCTTCAACTTCCTACATAGAAGACAGGATGAATCTTCACACCACTAGGCAAGTCTAGTTGATAGGCAAGGTCTCCAACTCGTTTGAGAATAATCCAAGGCCCACAGTACTGTGGCCATAACTTAGAACTACCTCCACCTTGAAGAGCTCATTGAGCTTCAGACAACCGAAGGAAAACCTTGTCTCCAACCTGAAACTGCTTGTGCTGACGATGCTCATCAGCCAACTCCTTTACCTGGTGCACCTTAAGAGAAGCCAAGTTCATACCAATAGGGGACCGAGGTTGAAAGCCATACATTGCCATTAACAGAGCCATCTCAATAGCCAAATGGAAGGCACAGTTATGGGCAAACTCTAACAAAGGCAGGTACTTCTCCCAAATACCTTGCCTCTTCAGATGACCAACAAACGATCTCAGCATGTCTTCCAGCACCTAATTAACTCGTTTTGTTTGTCCATCTGAATGTGGATGCTCATGCTCAGCTTTGTCTCAAGCTTCTGGAACACCATCTGCCAAAACACCAAAGTGAACGTGGGATCCTGATCACTTACAGCATCCTTAGGCAGCCCATAGAGAAATATAGCTGAGCAAGGTCAAAAGCTTTAGCATTCATCTTCACAAGGAAGAAGTGAGCCAACATCATCACACAATCCACAACAACCCAGATAGAATCATTGCTTTGAAGCACCTACTATGAAACTCATAGAAAATGCTATCCCACTTCTGCTGAGGTTAA